CGCAAACTCTTGCCAGTCTAGATGCACTCATTGTGTTTAGCAAGTAAGAACTATTCACATGAGCAAAAAACAAGAAGTAAATAATGATTATTCCTTAAGCAGGCTGGAGTTGCTTCTGTCTTCCAAGTAGAAATGTTCAAGTAATTTTCCTCTTCTCAAAATATATGGCTGGATGTCTAGTTATTAATGGATTTTTATTATAGATTTGTTTTGTCACACAGCTGGGAATAACTTAAAAAGTTAAGTGGATCAAACAGATGGTCATTTCTGTTTGATATCTCAAATGACTGACAAAAATAGTGCTATATTTATGTATTACATTAGGCCCAAATTTAATGGGAAATCACACGGGTCTGTGATACTGGGCCCCACTGTAAGATCAGGGTCTTAATCAGGAAAAATGAGCAAATTAATCAAATGGCTTTAAAAAGCTAGAAATAGCAAAAACATTGTAATACTGATGGAGTGAATTCATGATCCTACTGAAATCAGTGGGAGTTTAGCCACTGAATTCAATAGAGCCTGTTTTTCATCATTGGATTCTTGCAAAGATTGTGACCTTGCAAAGACCTACAAATGTGCTTAACTTTATACATATGAGAAGTCTCACAGAACTCAAATATAATGACACTTCACACATGTAAAATTAAACAAGCATAGAATAAAGACCTGTGTAGTTATCCAGCGTCAACAGGGACACTGGAGGCAGCATGGTCGAGGTGTCAAAATACTGAGGACCAGGAGAACTAGATTCTGTTCTTCTATCAGCTGCTATCAGACTGTGTGACCTTGAGCAAAAAGTATAAGTTTCCTCAGTTTTATAATGGACATACTTCCCATCTTTGTAAAGTGCTACATGAAAGACAGAGTAGGTAACTCTTAGCACAATCCAGCAAGTGCTACATGGGCCAGTTAGTGCAGAACACGGGGGTACACTTTAGAATTCACATTCCTCATCGTGCAGAAAAGCCCTAAGATGAAAAGTACTGCAGGTATTTGTTGACTGAAAGAAAGGGGAAATTTTCTATTCACTTCAGTTATATCTGATCAGATGTATAAAATAATAAAGAATAATGGGTCCATACTCTTTCAGTTCTTGAGATGCCACTACATTATAAATTACTTTAAATCTAAATGCAAACTAATTGTCATATGAGAAAGGGCTAGCTCTGTTAAACCCCCACTCCTGTAAGTGTCTTTAATAACACAATTTTATCACAATGGTTGCAGAATAAATCCTAAGGTAGAGGGGTTGTTGACTGAGGACTTCTTGTCAGATCAGGGACTTCTAATTCTAGGAAGCTCGATTAGTAACGGCTAATGCTTTGGAATAGTAATGAAATACTCACGATAAACCACTTCTGGTTCCTTCCTTCAGATCACCCAGTTAAAGATTGAAAACAATCCCTTTGCTAAAGGATTTAGAGGTAGTGACGATATGGAGCTACACAGAATGTCAAGAATGCAAAGGTAAAATCTTTATACATGCAGTATGAAAATATTTATTGCCATTGAAGCAATTTGCCTCATACACAGTACTTTAGTTGCTATCAAATTCAGTCCTCAATCCCACAAACATTTATGTGTATGCTTAACGGGATGAAAAACCCATCAAGAATGAATACAGAAAAGGAGAAAAAGATGACTTTATCATGGTTTATAAATACCTGTATGGGGAGAAGATTTCTAATGTCAGAGTTATTTAATCTAGCAGGCAAAACAGAACTGGAGCTAATAGCTAAAAGTTGAAGCCAAACAAATTCAGACTGGAAATAAGTTGCAAACTTTACATAAAAAGATAATTAACCACTGGAACAAATGAAATAGGGACCTGATGGATTGTGATGGAGATAATGTCTGGCTAAATGAGCTGCTTTAGCTCAACCACAAGCAATTGGACTTGATGCAGGAATCACTAGCTCTTTGGCCTGTGTTATTCAGAAGGTCAAACTATATGATCACAATGGTCCCTTGTATCCTTAAAATTGAAGAATCTATGAACCTCATTCATTTCATTGTGCTCAGAACTCTTATGTAAAGTTACTCACATGTGCAAGTGCTGGCAGGGTTAAGGCTTTTAATGGGTATGGAAATCATACAGCTGGCAACCAATAATGTCTCTGATACTTCAAAGACTTATGCATGTGATTGATCTTACTCAACTGGACAAACTTCCTCATAGGTGCAAGGGTTTGTAGGCTCATGTGCAACAGAGTCAAAAATAAAAAAGCTTCCTTATTCTCTTCTGAATCCAACTTTGTGATAAACAGACATTGTGTCCTGTGATTCCTTATCATATAACCTTTCTAACAGCTGCACAAATCCTAGCAGGTGGCATAAATATATTTTAGTTTAGTAAAAAATGCTTTTCCTTCCTTACTCCCACCTCCTTTAAAAACTGACAAGTTTTTGCTGTTCAGTTACCCTATAATCTTGGTGAATGTATAGTCCTGAAATTTTACATTCATTAATATTTTTCCTGGGGGTAAAACACAAAAAAAGACTATTAGAAAAACTTTAAGACAGATAGAAATCATGGCACATAGCCATGCTGAGCTGGTGTTAAAGTGAGTCAATAGTTTTATGCAAACCACCTGTGGTTGTGGTGGTTTTAGTTAAAAGAAACTCTTGGAAATGCTAGCATTGGGAACTGGAGTAGTTGAAAGGGTTAAGATACGCAGTGCCAATTCTGCAAAATATTTTCTGATAGTTTGCTTCCCAAACAACTTGGGATAAGATTATTATTTTGACATGAAGAATTATTCGTGGCCATTTCCTAAAGGATGCTTTAAGAAAGAGGAGTGACCTGACTTTTTTTGGTTTGTGTTGTGTGTATAAAACAGTTTTTAAAATGAATGGGCCAGATGCATAGCTGGGATAAATAGATACCGCTTCATTGACTTCAGTGGAGCTGCATCCATTTCTGCCAGCTGAGAGTATATATAGCCCAGTGGTGGGCAATAGCCAGCCTGTGGGCTACCTGCAGTTTATGAGGGTTAGCCCTGGTGGGTCGCTGGTGCTTTGGCCACTTGAAGCTCCTGTTTACTGTGGACCATTGTTCCTGGCCAATGGGAGCTGTGGGAAGGGGTGTGGACCGGGATAACTCTTCCCTCAGCTCCAATTGGCCATGAACAGTGTGTGCAGCCAATAAGGGCTTCAACTGGCCATACCTATAGAGATGCAGATAAATAAAGCATCGGTGGACCACCAGGGGCTAAACCTTGTGAGCCATGTCAGCTTATTGGCTTATTGCCCACTCCTGATACAGTCTGATCTTTAGTGTTGCTACTTATTATAAAAAGGCTCTGAAAATATGTAAAAATAGACCACTAGAAACCAGTGACCTAAGATCCTCTAGGTTAAGGATCATCTCACTGAGTAATGTACCATGGTACAATTCCTTTCTCACACTGAAGGAAAGGCAGTGTTATCTTCTTCTAGTTAGAGCTCAGTTCTGTTTTGTTTTAAATACTTGTCTGTGGTTATTGCAGAAGGGCATTTAATGTACAGTAGTTCCAGTAGAACCAAAACACAATTTGCAAAACCATGATAAGAACAAAAGGGGACTATCACCTGCTTCTGGATTCCTGAGTCTCTGGCAGGGCCTGTGCTGGCACTGGTCACCATAGTGCAGAAGGCTGAGATCATAAGATACCATACCCCAGCTGAGGATCTACCTTAGCACAGAACTTCCTTCCCCATAAATGTCCGCTAGTACTGTGGTGGGAGAACAGAAGATACAGTGACACTACATAAGGGGACTTCTCAGCTCCCCAGCATCTTTGAACTACCAGAGTGGAAGAAAAAGGGCCAAAAGGCAGGAGATAATCCAGTCCATTGGGTTTAACACTTTCTGAAGTTGGTCTGAGTTTTGACATTCAGTTCAGTGGGAGCAGGACAGGCCAAACACTATCACTATGAACATGTATCTCTTTTCCTTGTGGGCACCCTTAGAAAAGAGCAAGTAAAAAGTAGTTTTGTGTCTTGAACTTTCCTGTCTCTACCAGGGTGACTCCTTCACATGAGAGGAGACATTCTGGCAGTGCCACCGTTATGTGTGATCTGTGCAGCCAATATCATCCTCTCCATAGTAAACAATGTAGGACAGGAATCTGAAAATCACTGCAGTCTTCAGGGACCTGGAGACTTACAGGGTGTCCTGGATACCAGGAGAGGAATGGGGGCTGATGGAGATGCAGAGTGGCAGAATGTATGTGTGTAGGGGGATGCTACATTCCAAAGCCAGCAATGGGCCTAGGTCCATGGGAATATGCAGCAGGATCTCTGTAGATCTCAGGCTCTTCGTAGAGAGCTTCTCCCTCTGATTCTGGACTCTCCAAAGGGCTCCCGACCACACACCATGGGAAAAGCTCAGCTTACCACACTTTCCCATTCTTTTATGCTCCACAGCTGTCTGTATTCTGTTGAGCCCCCATCTACAGTGGGGACTGGGGGTCTATAGCAGAATCATGCTACTTTGAGTAGCATTAATATCCAAGGTCATTTGGTGCAAATTCACCATTTGGGGAAAGGAATACACTTTTATCCTGGTACTCCCCCCTCCTCCCTGGACATGCACATTTTTCTAGCCAGTCTATCAGCCACATGGATGTTTTAGATGATAGGGAGCTGTCAGCTGTGTAGAACATGTGTGTGTATGAGTTTGTGAGAACAAACTGCCTTCCTCTCTGCATGGCACCTCCATTGGTTTGGTCTCCTCCACATACGCAGTAGAAGTCAGCACATAGGCCTGTCCAAGTAAAAGACTTCAGCTGGGTGATTGAGCCAACACCTTTCAGCAGCTGGTAACTCATCTGCAAAGAACAGACTAGGTCTGTAGTGAGATCCAAATTCACAGGCCTCGGATACAGATGTGCCTTTCTCTCCATTAGCAACAGGACTATTCATGGTCATGTCAGTTGCATATATACTTTAGGAGTAAATACCTTGTGAGATCAAATCTGTTACTTTCATAGTAAGAAAAGGAAAGAGAGTGCATGTATGTATATGCACACTCACACACATATATGATTTCCTTGTTTGCCTGCTGCATTCCGGTACTCTCCCCTGGTACTTCCTCCTCTTTCCTGGACATGCACATTTTTCTAGCCAGTCTATCAGCCACATGGATGTTTGAGATGGTAGGGGGCTTTCAGCTGTGTAGAGCACATATGTATGAGTTTGTGAGAACAAGCTGCTTTCCTCTCTGCATGGCACCTCCATTGGTTTGGTCTCCTCTACCTACACAGTAGAAGTCAGCACATAGGCCTGTCCAAGTAAAAGACTTCAGTCAACTGGGTGATCAAACCAACACCTTTCAGCAGCTAGTAACTCATCTGCAAAGAAAAGACTAGGTCTGTAATGAGATCCAAATTCACAGGCCTTGGATAGGGATATGTCTTCCCCTCCCCTTCTCAATAGGACTATGCATGGTCATGTCAATTGCATATATATACTTTAGGAGTAAATACTTTGTGAGCTTTAGTTTGTGAGATCAAGTCTGTTACTTTTATAATAAGAACGTGTGTGTGTGTGTGTGTGTGTGTGTGTGTGTGTGTGTGTGTGTACACTCACACACAAATATGTTTTGTGTATTGGGTTACTGCTGAAATTCAAAACCTGTTCAAATGAAAATATGTCATTTTAATGCATGTCCATTTTGGGCAAGATATTTCTTTCACATTCATGCCTCCCACCTCCCACAGAGGGGGATCCTGGGTGCACATTTTGCCCTAGATCTCCCTGTCAACACCAATGAGATTTCAGCTTGGAGATCAAGTGCAGAATGTTCTGCAGACCCACAGCAGATGAAATTAAAGCCAAAGCTTGTACTGCACATTCCAGAGTAGAAGTTTGCCCATAAACATCTCCATGCATGAGCTAGTGGAGGTGTATTAATAAACAATATCTACTGGGGGATTTTGGAAGGGGAGGGTATTGCACAAAGAGTTCAGATTTTTGTGTCTGCAGCTGGTAGAATACAGGGTGGGAAGAGAGTTTGAGAGTTCAGGGCTGAAGCAGAGTAAAACATTCTTTTAAGGCCCCTCATTTTGAGTCTTTGATGAGCACCACCAGCTCCTGTTGACTTCAAGTGGAGTGACAGGTGGTCAGTGTTTCTGAAAAGAAGTTCTAATTACCATTCAAACCAATTATATTGCTTTTCGTTTTTCATTGGGGAAGCTCTTATTTGGAGAAAGGATGATATGAAAGTAAAGCTTTCAATGAGTTAAATGGGTATCACTAGCCTTTATAATGTGTTGCAAAGATCTAGAATAGGGTATATAACAAAAAACCCCCACACACAACAGAAAAGGCTTCGCATTAAATAGGTTTTCTCCAATAGAGATAAAAGGGACATATTTTGCTTTTATTAGTATAAATTCAGAGTAACTGCCTTGGCTTCAAAATCTAATACCTGTATAGATGTTGGTATAACCAAAAGCAGAATCTGGTCCAACATCTATCATTGC